GAAGGATGTCCTGAGGGACTCGTCCAACAAGAGGACAGAAGTTGTCTTGAGCAGAAAGACGACAATTTTTCTGAGCTGCGCCATCGCTTGAGAACGCCTGCTTTCATGGTTTCCGCACATGTTAGCTGATCGTGTGTAGTTATCCTGCCAGCTCCCTGCATATAGCTGGCCAACCATCACACAGAAACCTTTAGCCTTGACCGGAAACCAGACCGTCCCGGTTCCACAGTGACTCCAAACTTTCGAGACACGGAAACAACATTCTCATCAGACACCGGATTGACAGGCAACGAGGCGGATTCTGGCCCACCACCCTCATTCTGACAAGATACTTTCTCCTCCACAGCCGACTTACCCTGTATTGAATCAAAGCACCTCTCTGCGTACACACGTTCATCTTCACCCATGCACACTCCGTCAGGAAAATTGAGCGCTCGTCGGCGCGCGCCAGCTGCTACAAGCTTCCGCACAACGTAATCATATGCCCGCGCAGCACGCTCCTCACTAGCAAACTGCCCAACTCTGTATCGCTTCCCAGAAACCTGACAGCTTATCCCGAATGTGCCCTTATAACGGCAGATTCCTTTGTACCTCAAACTTGCCTGACGAGATTTAGAGGAGGCCTGCTTTGCCGTAGAATGGACATCAGCGCTTGTTACAGATCCACCCACGCTGCCAGACGTTGTGACAGTCTCAGCTACCACGAAAGCGCCCGCAAGATCTGCATGCCTAAAGTTGGAAGACATATATATCATCTCCCCAGCGTGCACGCCCACGCTTACGCGTCTAGTCAGCAAGTCTTTCACCGCATAGCCTTCCTCCTCTCCAAGCCAACTGACCACTTCTCCTGAGACGCTATCAAACCGCCCATCAAAACTAGTTGCAATGACCCAGCGCTCCAAGATTACAGCTGGACCATAACGGTCAACATCATCGCTAGGAGACGCCATACTGCGCACCACGGCAAGCAGCACATCTGCAAAAACCGCGCTGTCACAAGCGCCCCTCACGATTGATCTCCCAACCTAGTACGGCAAGCTTTTCGGCGCGCCGAGAGTACAGCAGCGCGCATGCACGAGCCAATACAAACAAAAGACACATCGCCGATCACCCGCATCGCCAGGAAGCAGAACATCGAACGTCATATATCAGTTTCGAAGGACCACGTGACAAATGCATGCTACGATAACCCTCGATTTCTCGCTAGAAAGCGGCGACAATGCAAACAAGCAGACCAACGCTTTCCCTGCCCGAAGTACTGTCAATCGGGCCCGCGTCCGCCGATCGTCGGGTGCCCAGGCCACATTAGCGGCTCGACAGGAGCCTCCGTGTGACATTTAATGCGCATTTAAAATTAACTTCAGTTCAGTCGCCCGACACAAGTCTGACCTCAGCTTTCTGAGGCGACGCAGCCTACTAGGCGGACCGACAATGGTCGCCGTCAGAGTTGCGAAAGTTCGATGCGAAATCCAGCAACCGCGCCGCTCAGCGCGCCAGTCTCATACAAATGTAATACGTTTGATGGGGGCCTTTCTCTTTTTTCCTGTACATTTTATCGTCGGACGCCCGCCAATTAAGCTAGGTCAAAGCGCCTTGATCGTCAGGCCCGCGCCGCGGCGTCGTACAGTGCCCGGGATTGTACCGAACCCTATGTCTC